AAAATCTCAATTTGTCTGTCATAGTTGACGTGTACCTATGATGAAAATTACAGGCCTCTCTCATCTTTTTAAGTGGGAGAACTTGCACAATTGGTGGCTGACTAAATACTTTTTTTCCCCACTGTATTTGCATACACATAACTAGAAAGCATGAATTTAATGCCATTCTTGCTTAAACAATGCAATTCAACATTTCTCATCACCCAATTTCTATTACTTATTTTTTTACACAGGAAACCCTGTACAATCTCTATCCTCTATTGCTGACTTTCCATCTAACATTACTTTTCAACATTTCTCAAATCGAATTACCTCTGTTATCGACTAAAATTATAGCCACCTCTTATGAAACCCCCAATCTGTCATTGTTTAGAATACAGCAGATATAGGTAACTGTCCTTTCTAAGTAGGCTACAAATAACACCAAACACATGCCGTAGTTGACCAGCATATATTGAATTTATCTCCATAGTATTAATATCCAATGTAGTGATTGACGTTCCTTAATGGAAACCCTAAATTGGCTTTGTACAATATTATATTAGTTATGTCTCACCCATGATGTATGTCTACGTTTGGGTGAGCAAGTTAATATATAATTATTATTCCAATTATTATTTTATGAAGTCTCTAGCCTCTCATTCAACACAAAACCCCATCATCAAATATACTCCCAGCAGAACTAAAAAAAACAAAAAAAAACAGACTGTGATTTCCAGGACACTGCTCCTTTGTTCTGGCCTCACTATCTCCCCGAGAGTTGGCACTCCCTTAAGGTCTCTATTACTCCTCTTTCTCTCTCCCAATCTGCTCTTGGTAAACTGCATACTTTTTAAACCTTAATATGTGTTGCTGTGCTTTTCTCTACCCTATCAAAGTATTTTTAATGGTCCTGCTTATCTCTGGTCTCATTCCACTGAGGAACGCTATATTTTTAATTGCTGATGGTAGGGCGTATCACTCCCCTGTCTCTGGTCTGGCTCGGGTATGCCACTGTTTGCGTTAAACACATCTTTAACCCTCTCTAAGTACTGGCTGACAGTCTCACTATCCTCTTGTTTACACTTATGTACTTTAGAGAAGTCTGCATGACGATGGTAATGTTCTCTGAGGCTATTACACAATACAGTTATTTTCCCTACATACTCTCTGTGATCGGCCCATGGCAAAAGTGCCCTCTGGGCATCCCCTGAAACCCACTGCCCTCTAACGGCAGCCCAATCCTTACTATTCCTGTTTTGGGGTGGGTCATTCTTTCTACCGCTCTGGCCACGTCCTCTGTGTTCATGGCCTGTATACATCTAAAGTTGCTGGGGCCCCTTTCATTCCCCGCCAATAGATTAGGTAAGGCTATCAGTGGGTATTAGCCCCATCCTACTCTCTCATCTCCTGACTCATACTGACTCCCTCCTGAGCTTAGCTCCTAACTGGACTTTTGTCGTGGGGTTCAAGTCTCCTCAGGGACCTGGTCTTCCACCCTTCGGTCCCTTGACCCCCCTATTGTACCCTAGTACTCTAGTTACTTTCTTAGCCTTCTCTTTCCGTCTCTCTCTCTCTTTCTAATTTCTGCAATGACCAATTGGGTTGCTGCTGTTGTTCCAAAAATGTTGTTAGAACCTCAACTGTACTATCTTCCTTTGCCTTATCCTCAACCCCCCTCTGTGCTCCCTCAGCTTCCCCTTTGTTCTGGTAAGGGGGTGGAAACTCCAAAATGGCAGCCTGTGTGGCACCCTTCCCCTCACCACTACCACCTCATCGTCTGGATTTATTCCTCCAGGCCTGATCTGCCAGGGAGGTGTATAGTCTTGATCTAGACCTTTCTACAGGGGGGGCTGTGGGTTCTGTCTTAGACCTCTCTCTCTCTCTCACTGCTTCTTTCTCCTTTACACACCTTATGTATCTGTTTAAGCATGGATTTGAGTTTATCTGCGTCCAGACGTCCCTCAAAACCATACCTCTCCCTCCACCTGGTTACATAATGGAGATTTCTTCTATCCCTGGATTCCATAAATCTCTCATCTCCGGTTGACCCCGGGACCTCCTTGGAGGGTTTGCTTCCCATATTGGCAGGACTCTTTGATCGTCCTATACCCAAAACTTTGAACAATTACTTTATGGCTTTTACCAAATTCCTGAATCTCACCTTTATTTGAATTTAGATTACTTCCAACTCTCTAATAATTGTTTTTGTCACTTTAACTGAGTTGTTAGGTATTAAATAATTTTACAATTGAGCTTTTAATGATTTATTCGATCTTTAATTAACTTATATGTTTCTTCCTCAAAATAGTAAATTATGATTACTTACTTCCTCACACAACCTATTTTGGTCCCTGTAAATTCTGGGACCTCTTGTGAGGATTTGCCTCCCATGGTTGGTACTGTAAAAAATCCCTTAGCCACCTCTTCTATATAACAAGTGATTCAAAACAGTTTCACACCACACCTGGAATCACCCCTTCCTGTATAGGTACAACAGGTTGACTAGTCCCCCAGAATTATCTCCTACTCTACGGAGGAATTTATCCCCACAATGTAATCTTGATAATTCCTGACAGTCCCATACAACAGGTTGACTAGTCCCCCAGAATTATCTCCTACTCTACGGAGGAATTTATCCCCACAATGTAATCTTGATAATTCCTGACAGTCCCATACAACAGGTTGACTAGTCCCCCAGAATTATCTCCTACTCTACGGAGGAATTTATCCCCACAATGTAATCTTGATAATTCCTGACAGTCCCATACAACAGGAATGGGTTCTCCCTCTTTTCTATACAACCACCTGGAATTATTCATAGATGTGACTTTTGAGCAAATATTAGGTCTCACACTTATACAACCTTACATGATTATTGGTTAACACTATCGGTAACCCGGAGTTTGTAAGGCTCCAGTTTCTTGAAACGGATAGAGTTACGGCAAAATCTACAGTTGTTTGTGACTTTTGACTTTACTAATATTATATTTCTCACACATGCTATTTTAATTCCTTCTGGTGTACTTTTTGTATTTGTTTAACCCGGATTATTTGTTGACTGTTCTATAATCTCTTACAGGTTACATCCCATAGGTGTACTTTTAATAGTTCCTTCTATTTCAACACCGGGTAGTTTCTTTTGGTAATTGGCCTATTACCCTGAGTTGTTACGGACCCACCAACCTTAAATTGGCTACAACCTTAAATTGGCTACCTTAAAATGGCTACTCATTGATCAATTTGCTACTTTAAATTATGACTTTACCCTCAGTCAATATTTTAGCAAGTTCTCAAATCAATTTCACCAAGTAATGAATAAAGACTACTGACCTTATCCTTGCAGCCGAGATTCAATGTAGGTTTGGATTCCGTCACCGTCTCTGTCATTAATCAGGTGTCCTTTGGCCTGTCTTAACTCTTAATGTCAAAGGGCAGGACTTTCTATTTACGAATGTATCATTCGCCCGTCGACGGTTTTCAGAGTTACCTGGAATGACAGAGGCAGGTATTGGATTCCGGCTCTCGAAGGACCAAGCTGTTATGTGAATTATTTAACAAACTATTTCAGTGTCTCTGTGCGTCTCCCAAAATCAAGAAACGGACAGAGTCCCGGTCTGCATAGTCAGAGATGTTTATTCATTGAGAATTCTGCCATCACAATTTCAGAGTCCATCTTTTATACTCATACGTCATACAAAAATCCCTCCTCTCTGTAGGCAGGCTGTAGTTTTCCACTTTATAATTGCTCTCCTGACCATCAGTTCACACACACATACACACACACACATACATTCACACACACACACATGCATACACACACATATGCACACACATATACACATTTACACACATACATTTTCTTATCATAGTCTCTCTCCTCCCTAAATTCCTCAGTTATCTTGGTTTCTCAGTTGCCTGTAGACAGTTCTCCTTGTCCTTTGTTGTCTGGCCTAACTCTTACTCACATTGCTAAATAGTAGCACAATGTCATAATCTTTACTGGTCCTACACTCACACATTACCAGGTAGTAGATTCTAACACATCTCACACAGTTTCAGAGTGTAATAATTAGTCACTACTAAGAAAGTACTAATCATACTTAAAACAAGAACATTTCACAACTATATTTAAGGGTGGAACATTTAGTAATTGTAGTGTCGAGATAACGATGCTGTGATGACAAGAAATCCGCTGACACTGTCCTTGATTATAATAGTTTATTACATCAAAGATTTCAGCGTCAATTTACAGACTCCTGCAGACATCTGGAGAACAACTGACCCAATCTCTAATATGTTGTTCCTCCCCGTCCTTTGTTTCAACCATGGTATTTATAATCTGTAACCTATGTAACATGATATGGGTGGATTCCCCATAAACCAATCCCAGGACGCCACATAACAGACTTCCTCTGATTTAGGGTGCCCCTATAGTAATGCTCTCCAGATGCTTCCGCAAGCTGAGTCAACTTCCTCTAACACACCATTTGCAAATGTCAGCAAAGTCATAAACTGTTTAGACACTACATCATTACTTTTAACCTGTATATATAATTAATTTCTATATCAATTAATTACACATTTCCACAAAATTCAAAGTGTTTCCTTTCAAATGGTATCAAGAATAAGCATATCCTTGCTTCAGGTCCTGAGCTACAGGCAGTTAGATTTGGGTATGTCATATTAGGCGAAAATTGAAAAAAAGGGTCCGATCCTTTGTCTTCAATATCTGCAATAAATGGCAACATCACCCAACTAAAGACCTACGTCTGGAAAGCCAATTACCTACATTATATGTGGATGCCTCATGAACTGCTCTCAACCTGTACCAATGGCGTATCATAGGGAATTGTCATTACATCCAATTTAGACCAGCATTATTTGTTAGGTTCATGTGATCAAGTATTTACTGTAGGCTTCTCTCAACAATAAAAACATCTACCTAAACTAAGCCACAGAGCAGTAACATCATCAGCCCATAAAAAGTAACTTTCATTTCTAGCAAGACAGGATTGACACAGGCCCTCATCCACCTAAGATAAAAAGAGTCTGGAAAAAACACAAGCCCCTTTTTAATAGTAATCTTTATGGTTTGCAAGAAATATCCCCATTCGACTTGCAAGTTTAACTAAAGTGTATGAGAGAGTCTGTTTTTAACAAAAGCTTTTCACTCCTGGTGGTTTATTTCTTTGAATACATTCTGAGCGAGTCGGACCTACGTTATAGAAAATATCCCCAAAACCATAATTCAATGGACAAGAAAACCCGAGCACAAAACTAAATGATATAAACATTTATTAACATTTAATTTTTTTGACTTAAACAGATAACATAGTCATTTATTTGGAAGTTAAAGTGGAATGTTTTTCATACACTGCATTGTAAATTCTCCCCACTACACAAATACAGAGTATGCATAGTTCAACTGCAGCTCAGTGGTATAATACATGTATCCTCTTTGATTCTTCAAAGAGTATGTATAGCAACTCAATAAATAAGATTTGTTAAAGCGTAAGAAAGCAACACTGGATAAAAAGTGTTGTGTCAGACATAGGGCATCCTGAATCATAGGTTCTCCTGTTTAAGTTTCAAAGCACACAGCCACACTTTTCCTCATTGTGTTATATGCCTTATACACTGTCATCTTACTTGCCTCTGAGAACTCAACATTCAGCAGTCAGAACTATGCCAAGTTAAGCAGTCATTTCATGTTTCTAAAAAGGTAAGCTTATGTAACACACATTTAAATAAGTTCCACATCATTAAAGTGACATAAAAAAGACGGATCCAAATCTTTACAATATAGCCTAGGCAGTGTCAGAGTGAGAAAAACTAAATCTAAATATATGAATGCTTCTATTCTGTACAAACTTTCCAATAGGCCAACAAGAATTGATTACATCAGACCCTGATCAGCGTTGAAGGCCAAGATCAAACATTGCCAGCGATAGCCCTCTTTATTGGGTCATTTTATCACTGGATTTGTTGCATAATGTCTTGTGCCTAAGGCCAACATGAGCAACAATGAGAAGCTACAGTGAAATGTATATACATCTGGTGGCGAATACTTGTCTGCAAGGTTTCAACTGGACCCTGTAAGCTGCTCATTCATTATCAGGTGTCTGTTTATGTGTTTTCGTCTGTGTTGTGTTTGTGCTTGCATGTGTATCTTGTACACATTTGTGTGTATATTTTTACCACGTGTGTGTGATCCAACATTTACAGTGACACAAAAGGTCATGGCCCCCGTTTTCTGCACTGACCAATTGTCTGTGGCCATGCTGTGAGTTTAGTGAGCCTGTTTGTGACAGCATCATGTGATGATGCCTATGGGAAGTGACAGTGCAGTGCTATCAGATGTCAGTGGTCTCCAGGATCCTGGGCATGTCCATCTCCCCATTGGTGCAGCGCTTGCCGTTACTCTGTCCATTGGCTTGGTAGTGCACACTACCACCTGGCTTAATGATGGTGTTCTCCTCAGGAGCGGTGAGCTCCAGGCTAACTGTAGCACGTCTCGTCTCGGTCACAGAGGAGTTGGTGTGGGAGTAGGAATCTGTCCATTTCCACACCAGCTTAGTCTGTGCCCATTTCCTCCTAAGACATGCCTGTACCTTTGGAACCAAAGACTGAGTGGTTTAAGAGCAACAGAAATGCTAGCTTGAACATTCTCAGTAAATACTGGCAAACAAATATATAAGAATTCCTGAATGATAACTATTCTATTATTAAATAGAAAAGTAAATAGTAATAGGTATACTGAGCTTAATAATCATCTATGTAAGATGCTGGCACTTACCTCAGCATTGCAAAAGCAGAATATAATTGCGACCAGGAGTCCCTATAAAGAATGGTAATTCAGTGAATATTGAGTGTGGAAAGGTTATACCAATGTTTTGAATGCATGATTCATACTGTAGGTAGGCTACAGTTATTATATTCATTTGTAAGGCACTGTCTATGTCTATGCTACCAAACATTGATTTAGGTTTGTATAGAATGGAACTGTGAGCAGCACCATCCAATCCATACCTGGAAATGTGCGAAGATGTTCATGATGAACTCGTAGATGGCCCTGGCTTTACGTCCCTCTGGCCTCCAGGGAACCAGGATGAACTGGGCTCCCAGCAGAGGGATCAGGATGAGAGTGGCTCTCACAGCCTTCATATAGGCATTGGACTCTGCACTGTGGGTCACCTGCAGCTTGGTGATCAACACACGCACTATGTTGAGCAGGAAGAACAGGTTCACCTGGAGAGACAGAGTAAAAGAGGAAGGGGAGGAATAGAGTGATTTAAATTGAGTGATTGCATTCAGTGATCGATTGTTTTCCATGAGCAATTGGCTACTTGCAATTCAAACCCAATACTAGATTAAAAGCATAAATATTCTGTTTGAGAACACACTTTGGTTGGTATTTCCGATAAATGTTTTACGTTTGTTTTTGTATTGCAGACTCACCAGTAGGGCAGCATGAACAGGCCCATGGATGATGTAGAGCAGGTGTGTGTCGGAACTGATCCAGCATCTGGGAGACAAAGAAACACATCTGAGCTCAACTGAGACAGAAAAATCGGATTGAGTTTAACTGGGATATCAGTAACTGACATAATGTTCTAATGCAGTATACAGCGCAGAATGTCAATCTCTGCCACTAATATGCGCTGTACTGTATTTAGAGGGAGTTGTGACACATTACCTGTCATCATAGAAGAACCCACGGGCCACAGCATGTGTGATGGCAGGAATGATGGGGAAGCCTGGGAGAGAGACAGAGGAGTCCATGACTGTCAAGAGCTTCCATAAGGCCTTCATAGATATGACATAATAAATAATATAGAGCTCTCCTGCAGGGACCCCCAGACATTTCATCATTTTGTTGTAGCTCTGAACTAGCTCACCTGATTCACCTATTCAAGGGATTGATTAGTTGACAAGGTGAATCAGGTGTGCTAGCTCAGGAATATATCAAATACATGGATCGACTGGGGGTCCCCGAGGAGAGGTTTGAGAACAACTGATATAAAGCACAGGCGGCTGGTGGCACCTTAATTGGGGAGAACGGGCTCATAGTAATGGCTGGAACTGAATAAATGGTCTATCAAACATGTGGTTTCCATGTGTTTGATACCAATCCATTCACTCAATGTGATATAGAGATATGAAAGCAAAGAAGACTCATTGCACATTATTACCTTCAGGCTATGTTCAAACACTACATCCCAATCGTTCCGCCACCTCTGGTCTCTTAGCCCTCCCACCCCTATGGGAAGGCAGCTCCCACTCAGCCCAGTCAAAGCTATTCACTGTCCTGGCAGCCCAATGGTGGAACAAGCTTCCCCCTAAAGTCAGGACAGCGGAGAACCTGCCCATCTTTCAAAAACGTCTGAAACCCTACCTCTTTGAAGAGTATTTTAGATAACTCTCACAGTGCCCCTGACAACCCCCCCCAAAAAAGGCATTTCTCATAACTCTCATGGCACCCCTGATGTCTGATAAATGACTAAAATGTAAATGTAATTATGTGCTAGGGGAAAAGGATGGTCAAACAACAATGATATCAGACAGCGGCGCAGGAAACAGCAATTTGAACAACAGTGAAAAATAAAGATGCACAGTCAGTCACTCACCCCAACCCAGGACATAATACCAGCACAGCTGCTGCTCTCCCACAAACACAGCCACGATGATGAGAGTGTGCAGGTAGATCCCCTCACACAGCATCCAGAAGTAGTTGGAGCCAAACGTATACTGGTTCAGAACTGTCAGGATCTTGCATCCAATCTGACAGAGAACAACACAGGGAGAACCCTCAGGACAGGGGTTGTTTTTTGCGCACATAAAATGCTAACCTTCTTAAGTTGTCACTGGCTCTCATTTCCACACATTGTGGAGTGTAGAACCTCAAAATGTTCACCAACTGAGTTCAACCAGTAGCTATTCATCCTGATGACAGAGGTGCACAGTACTTACAGGGTTGCTGGCCCCCAGCTGCTGGTTGTTGGCTACAGCAGAGAGCCAGATGACGGTGCAGATGGAGTTGAAGATAAAGGACAGGAACATGTTCTTATGGAGGGAGATCCTCTGGCAGCTCAGACTTCTAATGGGAGGATTAGAACAGACAGACACACTTAGGAAACAAACAAGTGTGTGACTGTATCTACACTGGCTCGTATAGGGTCATAGGAAAGCTCAGTCTTTCATTTGACAATGTGAATTAATGTTGGCAATGTAGGGAACAACCAAAGACCTCTGTTTAGAATAGAGGGCTCTGGGTGTAGGAAGAGCAATACAAACAGAATCACTTTGATTAGAGGATGTAAAGTGAAAAGGTACACTATAGTGACATTCAGAGCACAGTCTCAACCTTGTGGGTCCATAGAGGACACAATGCATGACTCACTTGAAGTAGGAGAAGATGCAGAGTGAGATGATGAGAGATACCACAGACAATCCATGTCCCACAATGGCTAAGTAGTACAAGCTAAACGCAAACTGGGAAAGGAGAAGCAAGAGGAAGCATTAATTCCCTTTAACCTGTTAAACTCGGACACCCTCTGGTGGCATTTTCTGAGCGACACATAACATGTAAACTCCCTTCATTAGATACATTTAGATTTCATAAAGTCCTAGAAACACATGCCTAGTATTGTAACAGTACCAGTCAAAAGTTTGGACACACCTACTCATTCCAGGGTTTTACTTTATTTTTACTATTTTCTACATTGTAGAATAATAGTGAAGACATCAAAACTATGAAATAACACATATGGAATCATGTAGTAACCAAAAAAAGTGTTAAATAAATCAAAATATATTTTATATTTGAGATTCTTCAAAGTAGCCATCCTTTGCCTTGATGACAGCTTTGCACACTCTTGGCATTTGTTTAACACTTTTTTTGGTTACTACATGATTCCATATGTGTTATTTCATAGTTTTGATGTCTTCGCTATTATTCTACAATGTAGAAAATAGTACAAATAAATAAAAACCCTTGAATGAGTAGGTGCCCAAACTTTTGACTTGTACTGTAAGAACCGTGGGATTCTGATACAGGTGTACATCAACAACGTTCCCAAATTGTTCCCATGTTGGGAAATAAGTGATTTTAAAGTCTAGGTTTGAAATAAAATATGTCACCAATTACCATTACAAAAGGATACGTTTTTTACCATATTTTTTTGGGTCATATCTTTTACCTAATGCTGACACATGCGCAAATTCCTATAGTAAGACAGACAGTTTAAAAGCCATGCCTTCATTTTTTTCTTACAGGAATGATATGCATACAGTGCCTTCAGAAGGTATTCACACCCCTTGACTTTTTCCACATTTTGTTGTGTTACAACCTGAATTTAAAATTGATTAAATTGAGATTTTGTGTCACTGGCCTACACACAATACCCGATTAATGTCAAAGTGGATTTTTTTGTTGTTATTTTTACAAATGAATTACAAATGAAAAGCTGAAATGTCTTGAGTCAATAAGTATTCAACCCCTTTGTTATGGCAAGCCTAAATACATTCAGGAGTAAAAATGTGCTTAACAAATCACATAATAAGTTGCATGCACTTTTGAATGACTAACTCATCACTGTACCCCACACATACAATTATCTGTAAGGTCCCTCAGCCGAGCAGTGAATTTCAAAAACAGATTCAACCACAAAGACCAGGGAGGTTTTTCAATGCCTCGTAAAGAAGGGCACTAATTGGTAGATGGGTAAAAATAAAAAAGCAGGCATTGAATATCCCTTTGAGCATTGTGAAGTTTTTAGTTACACTTTGGATGGTGTTTCAATACATCCAGTCACTACAAAGATACAGGCGTCCTTCCTAACTCAGTTGCTGGAGAGGAAGGAAACAGCTCAGGGATTTCACCATGAGGCCAATGGTGACTTTAAAACAGTTCCAGAGTTTAATGGCTGTGATAGGAGAAAACTGAGGATAGATCAACAACATTGTAGTTACTCCACAATACTAACCTAAATGAAAAGAGTGAAAAGAAGGAAGCCTGTACAGAATAAAAATATTCAAAAAATGCATCCTGTTTGCAATAAGGCACTCAAGTAAAACAGCAAAAAATGTGGCAAAGAAATTCACTTAATGTCCTGAATACAAAGCGTGATGTTTGGGGGCAAATCCAACACAAAAAAATCACTGAGTACCACTCTTGATATTTTCAAGCATGGTTGTGGCTGCATCATGTTATGGGTATGCTTGTCATAGGCAAGGGCTAGGGAGTTTTCTAGTATGAAAATAAATGGAATAGAGCTAAGCACAGGCAAAATCCTAGAGGAAAACCTGGTTCAGTCTGCTTTCCAACACACACTGGGAGACAAATGTACCTTTCAGCAGGACAATAACCTAAGTCACAAGGCCAAATATACACTGGAGTTGCTTACCAAGAGGATATTGAATGTTCCTGTGGCCTAGTTACGGTTTTGACTAAAATCGGCTTGAAAATCTATGGCAAGACTTGAAAATGGCTGTCTAGCCATGATGAACAACCAACTTGACAGAGCTTGAATAACTTTTTAAAGAATAATGTGCAAATATTGTGCAATTCAGGTGTGCAAAGCTCTTAGACTTAACCAGAAAGACTCACAGCTGTAATCACTGCCAAAGGTGATTCTAACATGTATTGACTCAGGGGTCTGAATACTTATGTTAGTGAGATATTTCTGTATTTCATTTTAAATATATTTGCAAACATTTCTAAAAACATGTTTTCACTTTGTTATTATGGGGTATTGTGTGTTGATGGGTGAGAAAAACAACAACAATTTAATCCATTTTGAATTCAGGCTGTAACACAACGGGTATGAATAATTTCTGAAGGAGAAAGCTGAAGTCATAACCTTTTCACTGATGTAATCAGATCTCATGTCAGATTCCCAGGTCCTCCACTAGAAGATCCCATGATGTGACTTGGCCACTTGAAACTAGAGGCGTCTGGTTTGATCTGGTTTGGGTAGTACCTCACTGTGTGAAAATGGCTGAACGGATTTTCAAGCCTGACATCTTAAAATTACCCCAGAGTTATCTTTTTTCTTAACACACAGACAGGTGAAGGAACTTCAAAGTTATTTTCCCATTCATTTTTCCCATTGGAAACAAGTGAGATAGATCAACAGCGAATATGGAGGATGCATTCAAGGTCATGACATATATTAAATGTGGATGGAAAAGAAATGCATTGCATTACGATGAGCACCAGGGTGTACCCTTTCCATTCATACAACATTTCTGCACTTTTGGTTTCTTGACCTAAATTGCATACTCTATGAATATGACCATAGCACATGATTTATGGCCTATGGGGGGGATTCTTATGACATCGCCAGCAGTAAGAATTGAGCTAGATTTCCAAAAATACAAGTGCTGTAGCTTTCGAAAGATATGTCACTTTCTATTTTCTGACCGGAATTGACAGAGTGGGTAGCACTTAAGCTACATGGGCCCAAAACAACCGCTCAGAGTTGAAGAGGTTTTAACTAAATGAACACAATAGAGAGATGTTGAACTTAAAAACAATCACTAAATTGACTCTAATAACAATGTCTTAGCCACTGTCAAAATTACTTAACCAGTTGGCTTAGAAGTATACCGTCAGTTTGTCCTTAGTGTACATCTGACACTGGGTGTAATTGGACCAAATACGGTTGCTCTCAGGGTGACGAAACCACTGTCCATCCGAGTTGCACACTTTAGTCGCTTTCTCTGTTTGAATGGACACATAAAACACTTCAGGTAAGGCATCATTAGTAAAGATCAAGTCAGTTGAATTGTGATTGTTAATGAGATGTGTTGCTGGCTGGCTGGTTTACCTGAGGGGTCAAAGTCCTGAAAGTACTCAGGGCAGAGCTGCATGGCCGTGCCAGGAGCAGAGTCATCCCAACACAGCCAGCCATCCCACGTGCGGTTACAGAATATGCCTGCAGGGGGCGACAACAGAAGAGCAGCTGTTTACAGTGTATTATAGTAATGCAACTGTTTCATGTTTCAAATGTTTAGGTTCATTGCCTTTGTTCTCTCTGAACTGTTTATTATATCATGGACATAATATGAAGATAGAGTGACATCTGTTAGTGATATTAGTGATCAAAGAACTTCAAAAAACCTAGGGACAAATCTTTCACTATAAAATACAGTGTTGAGGCATTTAAGACAAACTGAAAACAAGTCTCTTATTTCCTGTGAATGTCTTGCAAAAGCAGAGAAATTAAAAACAAATTTAAAAAAGCAAACACCTGTTAAATGTTTAACATGTATCTTCAAAATTAATGATATACTACATTGAAAATAGTCTACATGCATTAAAGCTGAGAGAAACAGCTACATGTGCAAACAAAGATCACTTTAAAAAACAGTCCTAGTGAACAATACAATAAAGGTTGTCCAAGATGTATGTACAGAAATAGAGTGCAAAATAGCATTTCAAAAGCCATGATTTAGTGAGTTCGAGATACAGGGGCAGCTTGGAGACAAAGACCATTTCCCTCCTTTCAGACCTGAGGGTAGTCACTTCCCTTCTCCCTATTTTTCTTCTGACCTATACCACTCCTCCACTCTGCTATATTGTATGTGTGTGTAGTTCCTCACCATCTTCATTGCGTGATGGGTCATGGATGATCTTCAGGTAGCACTCAAACTGAGCTGAGAGGATCTGGCTGCGGGTCACGGTGGTCGACAAAGGGATGTTAGGCACCTCCTCGGATGCCAGCATGGTCCCCACATCTTCACAGTGGCACACCTATTGGATATGTTTAACAGCCCCTTTTATAGTTTCTAATCTGACAAAAAAACACACACACACACATATTCAAGAGTATCTCTCACCTCAGCGGCCAGTAGTAACACCAGAAGCCATAGCGCTGGGATCCTCCACATGGTTCTATATGGGACAAAGAGGGGTGTTGCCAGTGAGCATAGGTGAACTATGGAGAGAGGAATCACAAGCATGGAAATAGTAGAGGGGAGTGGCTGTATTTCTAACTGTGGGATATACTTCTATGGTCTGGTTCATGGTGGAAATGATTTGCAGCAATAGCTCCCTTTGAATGGACCACTCAACAGTAATTGACCATACTATATGAGGAGACAACAAAAATACACATTTGTTTATGTGTTTGTGCTGACTGAACACGCATTGCAGTGTGTACAAGTGTCTCAGAACAGGATGTCCACTCACAACAGGTCACAGCACCGCAGTCGTTGCGTTCATGGTCAGGTAACATGCATATTTACAATACCAAGAAAGACGAGGATGTTTATTTGATGATCGCTGAAATGTGCTGTAAAAGTATACAAAGCTTGTCCCTCATGAACTCCACACTTCCTACAAAATGTGAATTCACTAACCCAGCAAGAGAAACCTTTTGAATTATAAAGCACAGTCAAATTCCAGCTGGAACAGGAGCATATAAGTATTGATCTCTGAGTAGTACGAGACATATGAAAACATATGTTTAGTGAGTTATGAAAAAATTATGAGTGTAAAACATTAGCAAAGGGAGAGAAAGACTGGAGGAAAAGAGAGAGGGGATAGAATATGGAATGCTTTGGAGCTTTGGGGGAAGATGGTTAGTAAGGGAGGATGAGTCAAACACACTTCCCCAATCTCACCTCTCTCTCACTCTCGCTCTCCCTCCTAACCCCGGGTTCTTTGGAAATGTCATAACTGTCAATGGTCACACAGAGATGGGTGTGTATCACAATCTAAGGAGGAAACCACAGCATCTTACTGCGGCTTTGCTCTAGATCTCTTGTAAATTGTCTTTGACCTTTTGTCTGTGACCCTGAGTGTGGGATAGAGAGATAAAAGAGAGAAAGAGGAATACAGAGAGATAGAGGGTAAGACCTGGTACAGAGGCAGAACACGAGCCCCATGGCTGACCCCTATGGCAGGACAATCCACAGAGGCACACGGTTGACCCAGAAACTCAATACACTGGTTTAGTCTATATATAGGGTCCTCTCTCTTCAATGGCTTGTCACCTGATCAAAGTCCCAGGAGGTACACAGGTGTCACACGTGTTCAGTAGTGTTCTCATCCAACACCCTTTCACAATCAAAAACAAACAACGTTCCCATTCCCTTTCAGTCTGTAAAACGACTATTTGCCTCCTATGCCAAGGAAAACAAACACACTGAGTAGTAGTAATGATATGATTTTTTTGGTCATTTGTTAACAATACAATTAACTATCACTTAATCAAACTGCTCAAAACTGATTAACCAAAATTATGTAGTGCCTAGTTAACGTATATAGTTTGATAACTGCTAAACATTGTCAATGTCTATAGTTTTACCTCATAAATGTATCAATTTGACATCAATTTATGTTGGAAGGTAAAACCAAATATTCTATGGATAAGGCTGGAAATACCACACCACCATTCTCCATCAGCCAGTGTGCTGGTGTGGTCTATATATAGGGTCCTATATCTCTTCAATGGCTTGTCACCTGACCAAAGTCCCAGGGCGGACACTGGTGTCACAAGCGCTCAGTAGTGTTCTCATTCAACACTATACAACACCCTTTCACAATCAAACACCCATTCCCTTTCAGGCTGTAAAACTGCTATTTGCCTCCTATGCCAAGGAAAACAATCTGAAAAGAGAACTGTAATAACAGTCTGGTTGTTATCCTGAACTGAGTAGTAATGAGCAGGATATTACATCTTGATGATATCAATTCATCAGACTTGATTCACTATATAGAAATGGTAGGTGTCATATAATATGACACACCTGCACACGAGCCCTAGAGAGAGAGCGAAAGAGAGAGAGAGATGCACACAGGGAAATCAATCCGATTGTTACAGAAATTAAAACCTCCTATTTGACATATTGGGAAAATGAAACAAAAACAAAGAATAAACTAAATTGCTATTTGGCCCTAAAAAGAGATTACAAATTGACAGAATATCTCTACTCTGTCAGAGATACAAAACAGAGCTAGAACCTGACCAAATATAGGCTCAGTGACCACCAATAGAGTACCACAGTATGAGTCATAATACCCATAAAACCTAGCGGTCAAACAAGGAAATGATTCCAATCGTTTTTCCACCATTCATTTTTCCCATAGGGAATTTTAGAAACACTTCAAATAAGGGCCGTGTTTCGTGTAGGCTTACCCTGGCGTGACGTTTTGATAACCGTGTAAGTCTCTCTAAGACAATGTGACTTTTATCAATATATTAATCTGTATTTACCCCCGCAAAAAATGTAATGCTAATTAGCTGCTAATGTCGCTATCATAAAGAATTACAAATGCCATGATAATCTGGAAAAGGTAAGAATCTCTGGATTAACTATCGAATGTTAGCTACATTTAGTAATTAATAAATTGGCAACATTTCTTTAAAATCGACAATTGTGTGAACTGTCTTGTCCAAGTTTTAAATTGACACAATACCTGTTAGCAAAGGTGTCAGCTAGAGATGACATGCAGGAGTTTGCAGGGATTTGTAGTCTTGCATGATGTGTACTTTGACTCTCATTAGCGTTTTCAAATCTGAGAGTAAATAGAGCCAAATATATTGATAAAAGACACTTTGTCCGAGAGAGATTTACATGGTTATCAAAACGTCACGCCAGGGTAAGCCTACATGAAACACAGCCCTAATTTTAAGTGTTTCTAAAATCCCTTATCTCATTTTTATCTCATGGATGGTCAGTATGTCTATGAATTTGAGGTGACGGCTTTCTTATTGTTTCAATTAAGGATTCTAGCTTTAAGGAATTCATATCATTGTGTCACACCCCGATCTGTTTCACCTGTCTTTGTGTTTGTCTCCACCCCCTTCCAGGTGTCGCCCATCTTCCCCATTATCCCCAGGGTATTTATACCTATGTTCTCTGTTTGTCTGTTGCCAGTTCGTCTTGTCAAGCCTACCAGTGGTTTTCCCGTATTCCTGTTTTTCCCTAGTTCCTGATTTCCAGTTTTCCCGGTTTTGACCATTCTGCCTGCCCTGAGCCTGCCTGCCGTTCTGTACCTTTTGGACTCTGTTCTGGATTACTGATGTCTGTCTGCCATTGACCTGTCATTTGCCTGCCCCCCTGTTTTTGTAATAAACTTTTGTTACTTCGAAACTGTCTGCATCTGGGTCTTCTCCTGAGCCGTGATACATTGGTCTACCAGCATCCCAGGTAATTAAAATAATTCAAGATCTAATTGGTACTTATAATAACTACCGGTAGTTTAAGCAAAAATAAAAGATTTACACTATTTAGATGTATTTATTCACTGGTTTGCAGACCAGGACAAACAGTTTCAAGGTATGACTATATAAAACTGTAATTACTGCTAGAAACGGTCCCTTGAAAACCACTCAGGAGGCTCATCATAACCACCCAAGGAAATTCATGAAGTTGTCATTCCAGTCCAAGTCTTTTAAGGTTGACTCAGTTATTCTAAGCTTTGATATAGGACCATCAAATCAAAGTACTTTAACTTGTTTTGATTATCCTCTTGGGTTACATGTAGCACTGAAGCACTCTTTGCTAACCTCTTTATCCATGTGCCATTACAGTGTATGGGTAGGTTCGGACAAACCTTTTTTAAGTTCACCCTTACATCATTTTCTACCAAAGAGTCCTGCCACTGGAAAAATACAGATGTGACTACAGTGTGTCTTGAACCATATTGAACATCTTGAATAATACCAACTTGTTTCAAGCAGACCACCATAGTCCCTGTGCCCAAGAACACCAAGGTAACCTGCCTAAATGACTATCGTCCCGTAGCACTCACATCTATAGCCATGAAATGCTTTGAATGGCTGGTCATGGCTCACATCAACACCATCATCCCAGACACCCTGGACCCACTCGAATTTGCATACCGCCCCAACAGATCCACAGATTACGCAATCTCTATTGCACTCCACACTGCCCTCACCCACCTGGACAAAAGGAATACCTATGTAAGAATCCTGTTCCTTGACTGCTGCTCAGCATTCAACACCATAGTTCCCTCCAAGCTCAGGACCCTGGGACTGAACATATTCCTGCTACTGGATCCTGGACTTCCTGACGGGCCGCCCCCAGGCGGTGAGTGTAGGCAACAACATATCCGCCATGCTGACCATTAACATGGGACCCCTCAGGGGTGTGTGATTAGTCCCCTCCTGTACTCCGTGTTCACCCATGATTGTGTGGCAGTGCACGACTCCAACACCATCATCAGGTTTGCTGACGACATCAGCAAGACAAAGGAGCTGATTGTGGACAACAGGAAACGATGGGGCTGTAGTGGAGTGGGTTGAAGGCTTCAAGTTCCTCTGTGTCCACATCACTAAGGAATTAACACACCTACACAGTGGTGAAGAGGGCACAACAGCGCTTCTCCCTCAGGAGGCTGCAAAGATTTGGCATGGGTCTTCAGATCCTCAAAGTTCTAAAGCTGCACCATTTGAGAGCATCTTGACTGGCTGCATCACAGCTTGGTATGGCAACTGCAAGGCACCCGACCGCAAGGCGCTACAGAGGGTGGTAAGGCCCAGTACACCACTGGGGCCAAGCTTCCTGCCATCCAGGACGTATATACCAGGCGGTGTCAGAGGAAGGCCAAAGAAATTGTCAAAGACTCCAGTCACCCAAGCCATAGATTGTTCTCTCTGCTACAGCACGGCAAGTGGTGCACCAAGTCTGGAACCAACAGGACCCTGAACAGCTTCTACCCCCAAGCCATAAGACTGCTAAACAAGGCTGCTAAATAGCTAATCAAATGGCTACCCGGACCATCTGCATTGACCCTTTATTTGCACTGACTATGCACACACACTGGACTCTACCCACACACTCACACATACTTACACTGACACCCCAACACACACACATAACATACGCACACATGCATACTGACGCCACACACACAGTCACTATTCCTATTTTATCTTTATCTTTAACTCTGCATTGTTGGAAAAGGATCTGTAAGTAAGCATTGACCAACCAGCACCAACATGTCCCGGGGTGGTTTGCTGTTTCCTTTATTTTTTTTTGTTTACTTTAAAATCTCCACCCACGCGTTAGAAGCATCTTTAACCCATTTGACTGGAAGAGATGCTAATCATGCAGTCCATGTTTTATGAAAATTATTTGGATTTCCAAGCTCCTTTCTGAAGACCCATGACCCCTGAGAGCAATGCATCTTTCTGTACCCCCCGGGTGCACGTTTTGGTTTTGCCCTAGCAGTACACAGCTATTTCAAATAATCAAAGCTTAATGATGAGTTGGTTATTTGAATCAGCTGTGTAGTGCTAGGGCAAAAACAAAAAACAAACCCTGCTTTAGGGGCATATTCTAAAGGTGGCTCTCTGGTGCCAATTTGTTGTTTCTTGCCACATGATGGTGGTAGTTGAGCTTAGAGATGACCTCTACACATCATTTCCCCCTCTCTTTTGCTTACTGTAGGTCAGGCTGTCATAGCTCACTGACTGTAACTCACTGAGGAGAAGCCTGTTTATTTGTATTACAAAGGGGCTGCGGAGAGCCTCTACGAATCCCAGGAAGGATGAAGTATGAGGAGGCCTCTCTTCCTCTGTTGTCCTGGCACTTCCACCCCCCTCTCCCAACAGCCACAGGTTAAAAATAAGCCATTGTTAGCCTACACCTACACAAAGGCCTAGGGTTTTAGAGGGAAGTAAACTTTGAACTTACATCATTAGGCGTCGGTAATGTCATTGAACTTTTTTAAAACAGATAACTGCTTGGAAATTTGACTTTGATCAAACTAAAACAGTTCTGTTATACATATCAACAACATACTGTGTGTAGGCCAACCTCAACTAATGTATGGACCACAGTGAAAAGTCTAATATGACATATGGTAGGTAGAGTATTTGATGGAAAGGATTCTTTACTTTTACTCTGACTGATTACATAAATCTCAGAGTCAACGGTTTTGTTTTTCATAAAGCTGTCTATTGGTGAGTGATTATGGACTTGCTTATTTTCCCATAGCTGGATCCAGAAATAGTTTTCCAAGCTTGGATCCATGCCATACTGTTTTGAGAGAGAGCACGAGAGAGGGGGAGAGAACCGTCAACAACACTTCTCAACACACTGTCCCATCACTATGATACCCCAAACAAATACACTCTCCTACCGACCATGGTGCCAGTAGGACTGGGTGGACATACTGCACCCACTCCAACACATACAAAAATATGATCCCATTTTATGATCTAGATTTTGTCGCCAATCATCTCCCCCCCACTGTACTGATATCCATAACACTGACAGAGCAGGTATGACATGTTTTGGTCCTCCTGTGGTTAATTACTTAACCCCCCCAACTGCCAGTTTATATACCATCCAGCTACTCAAAATAATCAATAGGTAACATTAACCCCTGGCCCCCTTTCCTTCCGCTACCCAAAAAAAGCAGTTAGTTAGGCGTCTTGGCATGATTGCAGAAGGGTTTTGGACTAAAGTAGCAGTCACAACACATACCACTCAACAGCTGCCTGGCAGGGGCAGCATGTTCTAGGGCAAAGACATGTCGGAGGGCTGGGACTCCTGAACAGAACCATTAAAACCAGCAACACAATATGCACAAATAGAACAGACCTGGAAACACCTCAAGTTGCTTACTTACTGATAGCCTTTGACGTGAAGCCTTTAATGTTACATTTGAGTGACATACAAAACAGTCACATACAGTATGTAATTATGAAGGCACAACAGTCAAGGATATTCCTAATTTAATTTCACTTCCATCCTTTGTTCTTAGAAAGCCAACTTGTTGCAATAACCACGACCGCACGAACGCAGGCACACACGAGCACACACAAATTTTGATTTGTTTTACTTAAATTCATGCCCTCCAAAATTTCCAAACAAGGCGTGTTTCTCACTCAACCTGTTTGGGTGGGGTTACTTGGAGACGGCGCATGCATTAGTGCCCAAAATGTGCTCATATGACCAACTGTATTTATTTTGTCTAATTGATATTGTTTAGTTTATAGGCTATTGATTTTTATTTTCTTAAAAGGACACGGAATTCTATTTCGCTGGGCATGCATATGCTACCGATAGACATGCGCGTCTATGATTTGAAATAATGAGACAATCACAGTAACATAGATGTCACAATCTGTAGCTTGTAAAACATATATGCTCTTATAGTCTGTAAAGCAAAAACATTTGCAGCTACAATGGACAGCCTCCTGGAAAATATGTAAAAAATATACTTACCTTCAGAATTTGTTGGAGGCTCTCTCTACTTTCCAAATCTTCACATGTTCCAGAGTAAACGTCTCAGGCACTGTGTCCAGCCCGCACCAAAGCATTGAATTGATAGCTGCGGATGTTGAGGGCGGTCGGTCTCAGGCTCTTAGGGATTTTATAATCAACATGAAATTAGAATTTCGTAGCCTAATTGGTTATTTCCATGATTGCCTCAGTGTTTTAATTTTTGAAGCAATGCTCAGAAATATTTTATAGTCACTATTTTGTGACGTGTAGCTGGTCCTGCCACTGTAAATTAGTGAGTCTGCAACTGACTGACATTAATGCCAGGGCAGTTGTCTCGCCTGAGTCTTTTAAACTAGCAAGCTTCATTCACATTAAATAGAAAACGCATGAATTATTGCTGAAGAGGGTGTGATTTTTTTTGTAGCAATTTCATGAGTTCCCAATTACATGATCATAGGCCTTGGTTGTCACTAGTTACCCCAGCCACCGAGTAAAATTTGACTAGGCCTATATCGTAAACATTTATGAAATCAGAAATGTGCTTTTTGGTCTTAATTTAAGGTTAGGGTTAGGTATACGGTTAACAGTGTGGTTAGGGTTAGGTTTAAAATCAGATTTTAAGAAGATAAATTGTAGAAATACGCGGGGTTTAGCCAAAAATATGACTTTGTGCCTGTGGTAACTAGTGACGATTATTTTTTTATTTTTTTTTAATAGCCAAACTCCGCACAACCCGCATTTTAGTCACTCACTCAACGTCTCACTATCCAACATTAATAGTTAATAATCTAGACTAGTCTGTCTAACACCCATGGTCTTAACTACATTTGAGGAAACTTTTTTTATATATATAAATATATATATATATATATATATATATATATATATATATATATACAGTACCAGTCAAAAGTTTGGACACCTACTCATTCAAAGGTTTTTCTTAATCTTTACAATTTTCTACATTGTAGAATAATAGTGAAGACATTAAAACTATGAAATAACACATATGGAATCATGTAGTAACCAAAAAAGTGTTAAACAGATTCTTCAAAGTAGCCACCCTTTGCCTTGATGACAGCTTTGCACACTCTTGGCATTCTCTAAACCAGCTTCATGAGGAATGCTTTTCCAACAGTCTTGAAGGAGTTCCCACATATGCTGAGCACTTGTTGGCTGCTTTTCCTTCATTCTGCGGTCCAACTCATCCCAAACCATCTCAATTGGGTTGAGGTCGGGTGATTGTGGAGGCCAGGTCATCTGATGCAGCACTCCATCACTCTCCTTGGTCAAATAGCCATTACACAGCCTGGAGGTGTGTTTTGGGTCATTGTCTTGTTGAAAAACAAATGATAGTCGCACTAAGCGCAAACCAGATGGGAAGGCAGATCGCTGCAGAATGCTGTGGTAGCCATGCTGGTTAAGTGTGCCTTGAATTCTAAATAATTCACTGACCGTGTCACCAGCAAAGCATCATCACACCTTCTCCTCCATGCTTCACGGTAGGAACCACAAATGCAGAGATCATCCGTTCACGTACTCTGTGTCTCACAAAGATGGCGGTTGGAACCCAAAATCTCAAATTTGGACTAACCAGACCAAAGGACATACAGTGGGGAAAAAAAGTATTTAGTCAGCCACCAATTGTGCAAGTTCTCCCACTTAAAAATATGAGAGAGGCCTGTAATTTTCATCATAGGTACACGTCAACTATGACAGACAAAATGAGGAAAAAATATCCAGAAAATCACATTGTAGGATTTTTAATGAATTTATTTGCAAATTATGGTGGAAAATAAGTATTTGGTCAATAACAAAAGTTTCTCAATACTTTGGTATATACCCTTTGTTGGCAATGACACAGGTCAAACGTTTTCTGTAAGTCTTCACAAGGTTTTCACACACTGTTGCTGGTATTTTGTCCCATTCCTCCATGCAGATCTCCTCTAGAGCAGTGATGTTTTGGGGCTGGCGCTGGGCAACACAGACTTTCAACTCCCTCCAAAGATTTTCTATGGGGTTGAGATCTGGAGACTGGCTAGGCCACTCCAGGACCTTGAAATGCTTCTTACGAAGCCACTCCTTCGTTGCCCGGGCGGTGTGTTTGGGATCATTGTCATGCTGAAAGACCCAGCCACGTTTCATCTTCAATGCCCTTGCTGATGGAAGGAGGTTTTCACTCAAAATCTCACGATACATGGCCCCATTCATTCATTCCTTTACACGGATCAGTCGTCCTGGTCCCTTTGCAGAAAAACAGCCCCAAAGCATGATGTTTCCACCCCCATGCTTCACAGTAGGTATGGTGTTCTTTGGATGCAACTCAGCATTCTTTGTCCTCCAAACACGACGAGTTGAGTTTTTACCAAAAAGTTCTATTTTGGTTTCATCTGACCATATGACATTCTCCCAATCCTCTTCTGGATCATCCAAATGCACTCTAGCAAACTTCAGACGGGCCTGGACATGTACTGGCTTAAGCAGGGGGACACGTCTGGCACTGCAGGATTTGAGTCCCTGGCGGCGTAGTGTGTTACTGATGGTAGGCTTTGTTACTTTGGTCCCAGCTCTCTGCAGGTCATTCACTAGGTCCCCCCGTGTGGTTCTGGGATTTTTGCTCACCGTTCTTGTGATCATTTTGACCCCACGGGGTGAGATCTTGCGTGGAGCCCCAGATCGAGGGAGATTATCAGTGGTCTTGTATGTCTTCCATTTCCTAATAATTGCCCCCACAGTTGATTTCTTCAAACCAAGCTGCTTACCTATTGCAGATTCAGTCTTCCCAGCCTGGTGCAGGTCTACAATTTTGTTTCTGGTGTCCTTTGACAGCTCTTTGGTCTTGGCCATAGTGGAGTTTGGAGTGTGACTGTTTGAGGTTGTGGACAGGTGTCTTTTATACTGATAACAAGTTAAAACAGGTGCCATTAATACAGGTAACGAGTGGAGGACAGAGGAGCCTCTTAAAGAAGAAGTTACAGGTCTGTGAGAGCCAGAAATCTTGCTTGTTTGTAGGTGACCAAATACTTATTTTCCACCATAATTTGCAAATAAATTCATTAAAAATCCTACAATGTGATTTTCTGGATTTTTTTCTCTCTCAATTTGTCTGTCATAGTTGACGTGTACATATGATGAAAATTACAGGCCTCTCTCATCTTTTTAAGTGAGAGAACTTGCACAATTGGTGGCTGACTAAATACTTTTTTCCCCCACTGTATTTCCACCGGTCTAATGTCCATTGCTCGTGTTTCTTGGCCCAAGCAAGTCTCTTCTTCTTATTGGTGTCCTTCAGTAGTGGTTTCTTTGCAGCAATTCGACCATGAAGGCCTAATTCATTGTGGTCCTCTGTAACTCAATTGGTAGAGCATGGCGCTTGTAACGCCAGGGTAGTTGGTTCGATCCCCGGGACCTCCCATACGTAAAAATGTATGCGCACATGACTGTAAGTCGCTTTGGATAAAAGTGTCTGCTAAATGGCATATTATTATGCAGTCTCCTCTGAACAGTTGATGTTGAGATGTGTCTGTTATTTGAACTCTGAAGCATTTATTTGGGCTGCAATCTGAGGTGCAGTTAACTATAATGAACTTATCCTCTGCAGCAGAGGTAACTCTGGGTCTTAATTTCCCTGTGGCGGTCCTCATGAGAGCCAGTTTCATCATAGTGCTTGATGGTTTTTGTGACTGCACTTGAAGAACCTTTCAAAGTTATTGAAATATTCCAGATTGACTGACCTTCATGTCTTAAAGTAATGATGGACTGTCGTTTCTCTTTGCTTATTTGAGCTGTTCTTGTCATAATATGGACTTAGTCTTTTACCAAATAGGGCTATCTTCTGTAAACCACCCCTACCTTGTCACAACACAACTGATTGGCTCAAACGCATTAAGAAATTCAACAAATTAACTTTTAACAAGGCACGCCTGTTAATTGAAATGCGTTCCAGGTGACTACCTCATGAAGCTGGTTGAGAGAATGCCAAGAGTGTGCAAAGTTCTCATCAAGGCAAAGGGTGGCTACTTTGAAGAATCTCAAATATAAAATATATTTTGATTTATTTAACACTTTTTTGGTTACTACATGATTCCATATGTGTTATTTCATAGTTTTGATATCTTCACTATTATTCTATAATGTAGAAAATAGTCCAAATAAAGTAAAACCTAGGAATGAGTAGGTGTGTCCAAACTTTTGACTGGTACTGTATATATTGTACAGAATAAAGAAAGTAAATTATGGGTCAACATCTAAAGATTACTCACAGCATTGATCAAAGCTCAGAACGCTTATTTTCTTGATCTGACAGAGTTCTAATCTCGCCTGCCTCTGCAAACGAGTGGAATTATGAATACAGCCCAGTACATCACTGGGACCGAGCTCCCTGCCATCCAGGACCTCTAAATCAGGTGGTGTCAGAGGAAGGCCCAAAACATTGTCAGACTCCAGCCACCCAAGCCACAGACTGTTCTCTCTGCTGCCGCACGGCAAATGGAACCAACAGGACCCTGAACAGCTTCTACCCCCAAACCATGAGACTGCTAAATAAGACTCCTAAATGGCTACCCGGACTACCTGAATTTACCCTTTTTTGCACTGACTCACTTTCTGGACTCTACCAACATACTCACACATACTTACACTGACACCCCCTCCCCCACACACACACTCACACAACATGCACACACATGCATACTGACGCCACACACACACACACTTTCACATTCACGCAACTTCTACTGTCTATTATCTATCCTGTTGCCTAGTCACTTTAACCCTACCTACAGTATATGTACAGTACAAATATGCTTTTATGCTTGATCTGAAAATGTGGACGGAGGCTTCGTATGGAGGGTGTGACGCAATAGCGGAGCCTCTGGAGGCATGCAGAGGCCAAATCAAGCTCCATACCGAATGGCTGTGTGCCTCTCAAATTTTTTAACAATGCAGAGGGCTCTGTATAGCTCCGCATTGTCATAATTGGTTGACTGTAGGTGAGGGCGGGAGGTCCTGTATATTTTTCTAACTTGATCACTAATAATCATAATAATTTGAGAGTGCTCTTCTTGACCATTGGTGGCCTGATAAATCCTACCCCCGCAAACCTATGTGAACTTTCCTCCACATCTAAATGTGATGAGTTTGCGGCATATTTCAGAGATAAGATAACAAACATTAGGCTGGGTATCAGTCAAGCAAGACCTGATGAGAAGTTTGATGAAATGTGCCCTAACCTACCACACAAAGGCACTATGTATTTATTTTCCCTGGTTGACACAGACATGCTCAGGAAAGTGATATCCCAACTTAAGCCTTCTACCTGCCTTCTCGATCCTATCCCCATCA